TGAGTTGGTTAAAACATTTTACTTCTTTAGCATGTTTACATCAAAGGCACTGTTGTCTGTTGCTTCCTTTTTAATTTTATTTTAAAGATTCTATTTATTTATTTTTAGAAAGGGAGGAAGCTAGAGTGCTGGCCTCTGAACCCAAAGGTCACCGGTTCGATTCCCCGTCAGGGAACATACCTGTGTTGTGGGCAAGGTCCCCAGCTGAGGGTGTGTGAGAGGCAACCAATCGATGTTTCTCTCCCCCCTTTTTCTCCCTCCCTCTAAAAGTAAATAAAGTCTTTTAAAATGTATGCAGACTAATATAAAAAAAAAAAAACTTTCAACCCTGGCCAGTGTGTAGCTCAGTTGGTTGGAGCATTGTCCTGTAAACCGAACTGATGAGGGTTCAGTCTCCAGTTGGGACATGTATGAGAGGCAGCCAAGCAATGTTTCTCACATCAGTGTTTCTCTCCCTCTCTCTCCAAAACCAATAAGCATGTCCTCTGGTGAGGGTTTAAAAAATTACCTTCCAGGCCCTGGCTGGTGTAGCTCAGTGGATTGAGCATGGGCTTCTGGAGCAAAGCGTTGCCAGTTCCATTCCCAGTCAGGGCACATGCCTGGGTTGCAGGCCAGGTCCCCAGTAGGGGACCCATGAGAGGCAACCACACATTGATGTTTCTCTCCTACTCTTTCTCCTTCCATCCCCCTCTGTCTAAAAATAAATAAATAAAATATTTTTTAAAAAATTACCTTCCAGGTCTTGTCCATGAGTGTATGTTTTCATGCAGTAGCAGTCTAATGTACATCCTATTTCATATTATTTCCCCATTAAATTGGCTTTTGTTTCATATATTTAATAATAAAAACCTGGGGAAGCAAACTTTTGTATTATATTCAGATACCAGGTAGGTGGGTCTTTTGTGTGTGTTTTTTCTCTGTCCTCCAGCTTCCTTTATTCCCATATTATTGCTGGATTAGCAGTCAGCCTCCTCTCCTTGGCCCCTGCCCATGGCTCTGTTTATCTAGTTGACTAGGCTGTATGTATATGTATACTTTAAACACACCTCACATCTTGAAATCTTCCATGCCCCTCATATTAACATGTAACACTACTTCCTGATTCTTTGTTTTGCCAGCGTTTGCTACCATAGGGCCATATTTTTTCCCAAGCATGGTTTCCCTCAGGATTTCTGTCTAGCCCATTTATATTAAAGCCTCCTTTGACTGTCTTCTTTGTGCCTTCTTACCTTTCTGCTTACCCACTAGAAGGGCTGAATATGCTTTCACAAAGAAGCCTTACTATCTCAGCATACTTTATTGCATTCAGACATTTTCACATCCGTGGGCCTTTTTATCACCCTTCTCCAATACCCATACCCTATTTTTTCTGTATTCTCAATTTCTGTGCTCCATATATACTTACTTGCTAAACATCATCTTCCCCGCCTTCATTTCACTTAAACTATTTTTTTGTTTTGTTTTATTTTATTTTACATTATTTTATTGTTGTTGAAATACAGTTGTCTCTTATTTTCTGGAGTGTACTCACCACTCCCCCCACCCCAGCCATTCCCACCTCCCACCCTCGATCCTATCCCCATTTGTTTTTTTCCATGGATCCTTTATACATGCTCTTTGATGACCCTTCTCCCTTTTTCCCCCATTATCCCCTCCCCCATCCTATCTGGTCACTGTCAGTTTGTTCTTAATTTCAGTGTCTCTGGTTCTATTTTGCTTGCTTGTTTGTTTTGTTGGTTAGGTTCCACTTACAGGTAAGATCCCATGGTAAACTATGTTTTTAAAAGTCCTCTTACCCTTTCTTTTGGTACCTTCCTCCAAAGCCAAGTTTTCTGTTTTTTTGTCAGTCATCTTTCTCCCTTCCACTCTTAACCTCTCTGGTAATTTCATTTTTTTAATATCATTTCCTTTATTTATTTACTTCTTAGAGGGGAAGGGACAGAGGGAGAGAAAAAGGGGGGGGTGGGGAGAGAGATCAATGTGGGAGAGAAACATCAATTGGTTGCCTCTCACGTGCTGCCAAAAGGGGAACCTGGGCCGCAACCCAGGCATGTGCCCTGACTAGGAATCAAACCCACAACCTTCTGGTTCACAGGCCAGCACTCAGTCCACTGAGCCACACCAGCCAAGGCTGATAATTTCATTTTTTCACTCTTCTCCAAAAGCTTTCACTCTGATAACATATGTAGTGTTCAGTTGAGGGCTTCTGAATAGATATCTGCTTTTCAAAACTGTGAAATCTAAACTATTAGCTTGGGAATAACCACCACCACCACCACCACCCCCGGGAAAATGAGGGCTCCACTTGAAAGCTTCAAACAGAGATTCTCCTGCCAATATTGAATGACGGAGTTTATATAGTATCTCAAATAGGGTGGCTGCTTAAACATATAAAATGTACACAATTGTGAATTGAGAATAGATTGTTGATTTTGTATTTCTATTTTGACCTGAGGAATAAAACATCTCAGAAGGTAATTTTCATATGGATTGTACTGAACATTAATTCTTCAGGGTAATTATAGACTTGGAAATGTTTAATACTTGCTCATAGTCCATGCTGAAGTATCTTCCAGTGGTAGGAGGAACTCATATTCTACAAGGCAATCCAGTTCATTTTGTACTGCCATTTTTTAAGATTATTTTTTTAATTTACTTTTAGATAGAAGGGAGGTGAGAAAGAGGGAAAGAAGCATTGATGTGAGAAATATAGATCAGTCACCTCTCATACGTGCCCATACCGGGGACTAAACCTGTGACCCAGGCACATGCCTTGACTAGGAATCGAACCAGTGACCTTTTGCTTTGCAGGATGATGCCCAACCCACTGAGCCACACCAGTCAGGGCTGTTCTGCTATTGATTATTTTAACTGTTCGTTCTTGTATTGGATTAAAGTTTACAGCCTATAGTTTTCTTTATTTTAATTTTGCTCTCAAGCTTCATAGAATTTGGATTCCTTTTCTACATGACAGTGTCTTAGATATCTGAACATAGTTATTATATCCTCTATACCCCTCTCCTCACAATTTTTTTTCCCTTTGAGATAACCACTTTCTGCCCCATCCAACTATTGCTGATAGGACACCATTTTCATCATCTAGATATTACACTTTGTTAACGTCCCTTCTAAATTTGTTCAGAACTTAAAATAATAGACAAAGTGTAGCTGAATTGGCTCTGGATGTTGCACATATGGACATTAATGCAGCCTGGAGTTACTTTAAGTTTTTCATCAGTTGTGTAATGTTGGCTCATAGTGAATTGTTAATTAACTAAAATCCCAAGATTTTAATCTGCTTTGCCTTCATGTGACGTCTTTCCAACCAGGTTTCCATCTTTTTTAGTTGTGTGACAGATTTTTAAAATCAGAATATAAAACTTTACACATATCTCTGTTAAATTTTATTTCATTATCCCTGGGTGATGTGGCTCAGTGGACTGAGCGCTGGCCCGCAAACTGAAACGTCACTGGTTTGATACCCAGTCAGGGCACATGCCTGGGTTGCAGGCCAGGTTCCCAGTTGGGGGCATGCAAGCGGCAACTGATTGATATTTCTCACACATCAATGATGTTCTCCTGCCTCCCCCTCTCTCTGAAAATAAGTACATAAAATCTTTTTTTTTTTTTTAATTATCTCATTAGGCTATCATCCACCCTTGGTTTCTTTGAATCTTGTTTCTTTTCATTCAGTTTATGCTGATTCAACAGAGGGCCTTGAAGCTAGTGTCAGAATGTTTTCAGATATCTGAGAAGTGATAATCAAAAGTCATGGAGACAGTCTTCCAAAAACTGTTGTATGTAGCTATAACTCAGCTCTTTGGGTATATATGAATTAATACCATTGTAAATTGACAAGGCCCAGAATGACTGATATCCATTGCCAGCCTGCAAGACAGAAGCCTTGTGTTGAACAGTATTCTATAAGGGGTGATGTTCCAAGACATTCTGTGCCAACATAATGTCAAAAGAGTTGGTTATTCTTCCCAAGAAATCAATTAACGCACAGATGAAGTAGAGACAGCGTTATTGTGACTATTCTTTTATTTTGCACTTTACAAGCACGTACAGAGTACATATAGAGTTAGGAACTGTGTGAGATTCAGAGAATCAGGGTTGCCTCCCTGATTTACGCCTATTGTCCCAGGTAATTGTTAGTAGCATCACTTTTCACTTTCAGAAGTATTCAGGTTAGGAGGATAAATAACTGGCCATATTTCTCATAACCCAACTACTTACTTTGAGTTTTTTTTTAATTGGGTTAAATGTTACACAGCTATAATTTGCCAGATCTAATGAGGCTACAGTAGTACTTAACATTTGCATAGATAGTTCCTTAACCATGGGAAGTGGGAAGCAAAGGCAACTACACATATTTAGTATTCCTCCTGAGCCACCATCTAGAGGGCAGTATTATATACAGCTAAAATGCTTCAATTCCAACAAAAAATGGCCTCTTTGTTTACACATGAAAATCAGAAACTTTTGATGTTCTTAAAGAATCTATTGGAACCAATATTGTGAATAACTTATCTTTTATTAAACAAAAAGTAAAGAAATATTAAAAATTAATTCATTAGCATTCTGAACATTCCTTTTTAAAAATTTGTAGAAACTGAACTTTGATGCCTTGAATATATAATGTTCCATTATAACAATTATGCATAGGTTTTAAAAATCTGCATACTTTATGCTTCTTTCATAGTTTTTCTAATTAATGATATCACATGGTTAATTTTAATATATTCTGCATCACAGTTTCTATATTTATGTAAAATAAGCCCTTAAAATGAATACTACTTGCTTAAATATTACTTCTAAAAGAAAACAAAATTGCTAGTTTTAACTTTAAGATTTGAACTCAAGTATTTAGAATTAGAATGTTTCTTAGAGCTTGTGTAATTTTATGTCATCAGTGAGTAATTTATTAGTTCCTAATATCAAAAGTGATTGCCTGTGTTTCACATTTTGGATTTCCTAATGTAATGTTCTCTTTTTAGAAAAGGTGGACAAGTCCTATTTTCAAGAGAAGATGACTCTTAACTGTTTTGAAGGATCTAAAACTTGTGTACCTGCAGACATCGATAAAGATGAAGAATTTGTAGAAGAGTTTAATAGATTAGAAACTTTTGCTAATTTTCCAAGTAGTAGTCCTGTTTCAGCATCAACACTAGCACGAGCTGGTTTTCTATATACTGGTGAAGGAGACACCGTGCGGTGCTTTAGTTGTCACGCAGCAGTAGATAGATGGCAATATGGAGACTCAGCAGTTGGAAGACACAGGAAAGTATCCCCAAATTGCAGATTTATCAAGAGCTTTTATTTTGAAAATAATGCTGCGCAACCTACAATTTCTGGTACCCAAAATGGTCAGTACAAAGCTGAAAATTATCTGGGGAACAGAAACCATTTTGTTTTAGACAGGCCATCTGAGACTCATGCAGACTATCTTTTGAGAACTGGACAGGTTGTAGATCTGTCTGACACCATCTACCCTAGGTACCCTGCCATGTGTAGTGAAGAAGCTAGATTAAAGTCATTTCAGCACTGGCCAGATTATGCCCATTTAACCCCAAGAGAGTTAGCTAGTGCTGGGCTCTTCTATACAGGTGTTGATGATCAAGTGCAGTGCTTTTGTTGTGGTGGAAAACTAAAGAATTGGGAACCTCGTGACCGCGCATGGTCAGAACACAGGCGACATTTTCCTAATTGCTTCTTTGTTTTGGGCCGGAATGTTAATATTCAAAGTGAATCTGATACCGTGAGTTCTGATAGGAATTCCCCAAATTCAACAAATTCTCCAAGAAATCCAGCCATGGCAGCTTATGAAGCACGGATCGTTACTTTTGGGATGTGGATGTACTCTGTTAACAAGGAGCAGCTTGCAAGAGCTGGATTTTATGCTTTAGGTAAACCTTATTATAAAATCAGGCTAATAAATAACTTTCCAACTGTCCCAGGGCTCCTAAAAAGTAAATACATTCCTTTAGCCCCCCTTAACTGTTAAATATTTAGGTGTAGAGTGGCGTGATTATTATCACCAATTCCATTAACCCATATGTTGAATATGTAATGTGACCACTGAATTTATATGAAAAGGAATACTATATTAAGAGTCATATTTATCTTCTTAGTCATTACATGACTAAGAGTCATGTAATTGTTTTATGGAGAACAATAACATGCAAAAGATGATGGGTGTCCCTGATAAAAGAATGGGTCAGATAGTAATACTATAATTTATTGAGTCCCTACTCTATGTGCTCAATACATATATTAAATGCATTTTCTCTACTCCTCAAGAAAATAAGAAAAGTTAAAGAGTTTAGTTTGGCTGATATTAAAATTAATACCTGTCTTTTGTACAGAGACTATATATTTGAAAGCTGCCCTATATAATGCCTTTTTGCTTCAAATGAGCACTTGTCAAATGAACTACCATGGGCATGTCAGGAAGAGCCGCATCAATTATTTAATAATTTACTTACATGGTATCATAGGTTTTTGTGTCATGTAGCTGTAACCTTAGAGAAACTTATCTTATAATTTCATTATGCATTAAACTTTATTATTAAAGTTTTATAATTTGAAAAGGTAAACTTTGGGCCCCAAATGAGATATGTTAAAAAAGAATGTAACAATTGTAATTTTCTGCATAAAAATTGGGCAGTTTTATTTTTGTTCTATAAAATACCTCAAGTTGAATCAGTGAATTTAATGTGTATTTCCTCCTCAAATGATCATATCTATTACTTAGATGTGCATTTGAATGTATTTTTAATATTTATTTTTGTCTTTTTCCATTTCCACTTATTCCTCTTATACCCTCCTCTATCTCCACCCTTCCCCTCCCCCCAATCCCCATCCTGTCTTCCATGTCCATGAGTTCCTTTTCTTTTTTGCTAGATTCCATGGCCCCAAACCCCCCCCCCATGGTGAATGTCTTTTTAACCTATAAATTTTTACGTAACTTAGAAATGCTTAATTTCATGGCATTAAAAAAGGGGTATTTTTGTGTAAGCTTCTAATTGTATAAAATAACATGTATTTTTACTTCTGTGTTTTCTTAGGTGAAGGTGATAGAGTCAAGTGCTTTCATTGTGGAGGAGGTCTAAGTGATTGGAAGCCTAGTGAAAACCCTTGGGAAGAACACGCTAGGTGGTTTCCAGGGTAAGGTATTTAAATGTTCATTCAGTAACAGCCAAGCTAGACAATGTGTAGTGGGAAGACTTGAATAGCTTTTCACCTCAACTATTTTTGCCTTCCCAAGCCTTGAAATTCAATTCACACCAGGTTTATAAAAATGGGGTCACCTACTTTATAGGGAAAAAAAACACATAAACCATCTCTGGTGACAAAAACATTCATTACTTACTTGTATATTGTATTTATGATATTCAGAGGATTCCATTTCTAAACACCAGATTAGGAATGTATACTTTAGTTGTTGTCGGAAGTAGGCTTTTTTACAATGGATATGAAAGAACCCACAATAAGTAGCATAACAAAGGGAGCATTTTGTGGCTCCTTAGAAATACTGATAAGTAAGTTAATGGAGTTAAGATGATGGAGATGATATCATACACTTTGCTAATTTTCCAGCTACTAAAGTTGAACCTTCTTGTTTAGGTGTAAATATCTGTTAGAGGAGAAGGGGCAAGAATATGTAAACAATATTCATTTAACCCACTTACTTGAAGAGTCTGTGGTAAGTCAAATATTGTAGAATATGTATTTTCAGATACTATGTAATTTGTTTTACACTGATTTCTCGGTGTAAAATTCACAGTGTTGTATTTTAAATTAATAATGTATGGTGAGCTTTAAAAGGGAGATCTTGAAAAGTACTTGTTATTCTTAACCTGAAGCAAATTGGCGAAAGGGGATTGGGGTGAACTGATTTAATATCACTACAGGCAAAAATGGGCTTGAAGAGCAAAAACACTTTAATCTCTCAGCCTTCTGGAATTTGACTTTTGTACATTGTGTTTTGTACTCATAAATAGTTTTAAACTACTTATGAGTACAACTCTGGGAGAGCACAGTCACCATTATGGTTCTGCCATCAACTATATTGCCTCAGTCAAGTTGTTTAAACTCCCTGAATGTCAGCTTCTTATCTGTAAAGTGAATGGGTTGGGTTAGATGACCTTTTAACTTCCTTCTAGCTTCATTGGGCTGTACCCCTTGTGTATATTAATATGTTGAGTTGGAATAAAGCCAATTTTTAATTAGTGATTACTGTAACTTTTCAAAGTAAGTAATTTGCCTTCTACCAAAAAGAATTTTTAGCTTACAATTTATATTTCTATTTTAGGGAAGAAATGATGAGAAAACACCATCGCTAACTAAAAAAATTGGTAAATATGCTTATTGTAATAAATATACTTTTAATTTCATTACCAACTTATACTTGTTATTTATAAGGTAGAAAGGTAAACATATTCTTTCAGGTTTACCAAGGCGTATTTGTTTGAGATGAGATTTGCTATAAATTTAAGAAATAATGATGTGCCTATAGATTTCAGTGGGATATTTATATATACAAAACATTCCTATGGAGGTTGGACAGTTAGCTTTTCCAGGCTTGGGAGGAGCAGCTACAAGCTGCCTGCCCATCACCACTTCTGGGGCTTCTTTAGTTAATGAGGGTCATGAATCCAGTGCTCTGCTCATGTGCCATCATCATGCTCAGCCCTAACCTGCCATTTTATTTATTCCATGCCATCTTTGTGCCTTTCCCATCTTCACAGAGGAGCACTGTGTATCTCTTACTACTTCACAGAGAGGTAGACATTTTATTACAAAGATTATTTATTCATCATAGACATTTTAAAAAACCAGAAAGTGGGCAGAGAAAGGTAGTATGTTCGGCAAAGAAGATGTTGTTATCCCCACTTTTCAGATGAAGAAACAGAGTCAGAGAGGTTAAGTGACCCGTTCACAGTTAGGTTATAAATCATTGGTGGAGCTAGGGCTGTAAACAAGTTCTTCTGAATCCTACATCACACTACAGCCCTTCTCAACTGAGGCATCTTGTTTCAAAAATAGTAGAAAGTTTAATTTAGACTGTGTCTGGTGATTCCCCACATTCTATACTCACAGCAAGAGAATACTATATGTATTTATAAATATGCTTAAGAGCCACTTTCATAAGGCTTTTGTAATGGGAATAAATAAAAGAGTTTAAGAAATCACTTATTCCAGCCTATATTTTTGAAGTTATCCAGAAACAAAGAGTCTATATAACATTTCTTGATAATCATCTTTACAATGCATACTATTCTTTTTATAACTAATAAGACTCTTGGTTTGGGATTAATGTTTTTTAATTAAGATCATTTACTTAGCAAAATTTTTACCATTACAAAGTATAGATTTTGATGTTTTTAGTATATTCACAAGGTTGTGCAACCATCCTTATTATTTAATTACAGCACATTTTCATAACCCCAACAAGAAATCCCATACCCATTAGCAGTCACCCCACATCCCCAGCCCCAAGCAACCTCTAATCTATTTCTGTCTGTATGAGCTTGCCTATTCTGGTTATTTCATATTAAATGGAATCATAATGGCCTCAAGGTTCATCCATTTTGTAGCAGTCATATATGAGTATTTCTTTTTTTATGGTGGAAAACTGTCTTTGTATGGATAATCTTGTTTATTTGTCAGTTGGTGGACATAGCTGATGCTGCTATGAACATTTATGTAAAAGTTTTTGTGTGGACATATGTTTTTAATTCTCTTAGGTATATTTTTAGGGATGGAGTTGCTGGGCCATATGATAACTCTTATGTTTAATCTTTCAGTAAACTACATTCCCACCAGCAATGTATGAGGGTTCCAGTTTGTTTCTCCACGTCCTTGTGAACAGTTGGAATTATTTGTCTTTTTATTACAGCCATCCTGTGGGTGTGTAGTGGTATCTCATTGTGTGTGTGTGTGTGTGTGTGTGTGTGTCCCAGGTGGCTAATGATGTTGGACATTTTTCACCTGCTTAGTGGCCATTTGTATGTCTTCTTTGGAAAAATGTCTGTTCATCTCCTTTGCCCATTTTTTGGTTGGGGAATTTGTATTTTTATTGAATTGTAAGAGTTCTTTATACACTCTAGTTCTCTCTATATGTAAGTCCCTTATCAGGTACATGATTTGCAAATATTTTCTCCCATCTTGTAAGTTGTCTTCACTTTCCTGTTGGTGTTCTTTAAAGCATATAAGTTTCTAATTTTGATGAAGTCGAATTTATCTGGGTTTTGTTGTTGTTGTTGTTGTTGTTGCTGCTGCTTATGCTTTGAAGTCATATCTAAGAAACCCTTGCTCAATCCGGGGTTACCTATGTTTTCCTCTAGGATTATTATGGTTTTAGCTCTTACATTCAGGTCTTTGATCCATTTTGAGTTAATTTTTGTAAATAATATGAGGTAGCAGCATATTTAATTCTCTTTCATGTGGATATCCTGTTGTTCCTGCTTTTGGTTTTCAGCAAGTTGACCTTCAGGTACCTGCAGGATATCCAAGTAGGTGAATGTTAAAACTTCGAACTCATACAAATGACAGTGAAATTGTGGTAGTAGGGAAAGCATCAAGAGAGATTGTAAAAGAAAAAAAAGTGGGGGAAGAGATCACATGAGGGAACCAACAATATCTAATCAGATGGACAGAAGGAACTGCAAGAAAAACTGGGGGAAGCTGACTTCTGGACATCTCCATCTAGAAATCTCAAAAACAGTTCAAATTCAGCTTCTCTTTTGAAAACCACTTAGACAAATTCAGCCCTGCTCAATCCCCCCCCCCGTGTTAGTTAAAAGTATCACAATTTACAAAGTTGCCCCATAATTTGAGTCATTATAAGCTCTTTGTTTCCCTTCGTCGCGCTACATTTAAGTAATTACCAGGTCTGATAATTTCCACCTCTTTAATATTGTCTAATATTGTCTAATCGACTGGTTCTGTCTTGGTTCCTGCCCTTCTTTCTCATCCAGGCTATTGTGCAGTCTCTTAACTGGTCTTCTATTTGTACTCTAACCTCCTGACAGAATTTTTATTAAACACAACTCTTAAGTTACTTCCCTACTTAGAAAATATATTTGTTACCATACTGTTCTTAAAATCAAATCCCTACAGGTCCTGATCAATATGCACCCCCAAGTTATATTCTTACTTCTGTTGCCATAGATTAGATTTGAACATCTTATAAATGTAGTCATACAGTATGTTGTGTTTTGTCTCTGGTTCATCATTATGATGACATTTTGCTCTCTATAAGACTCATCGTGTTGTCTATGGCAGTAGTTCATTCTTCTTTCTTGCTGTGTAGTGTTCGAATGTAGCATAATGACTGAGCCATTTGCCTGATGATGTTTGAATTTCCAGTTTGGGGCTGTTATAAATAATGCTGCTATGAATATTCTTATGTATGTCTTTGGTAGATATGTACATCATTTTTAATACCCAAGAGTGGAATTGATGAATGAGTGGGTATGAATTTCCTCTTTAGCACTTTCTTACATAACTGTATCCTACTTTGAGCATCATAAAAGTGAGTTTTGGTTTGCTTCCTTGCCTTATCTAGTTCACCCCCCTTATCTATAGAAACTAAGTCTGAGAAATAGGAAACTGATACTTTCAAAGTCACACCTGGAGTTCCCCCTATTTCCTGTTATTTTTATTTATTTTCAAAATAATTGCTAGGGGCTCAGTAAAGAAGACATCTGCTCTTTAAGTACCTTAGGTTGATTGTTCATGAGAACATCTGATTTGAAAAGTGCTCAGATTTTTTAAGCATTTAATACTTTTCTTACCTGTTTTACTTTATCTTGCACTGTTTAATTTCACTAAGTCTTTAAAGCATCTAATCCCAATTCATAGTGCTGCAAAATACTCCATTTTCAATTGTAAAATTCTGAAAGTGATCCTTCAGTGCCTAAATATTTCAAAATCTTCTGTTCAGAGCAGCTTTGGTTTGTTGGGGGGGGGCGTTTCTTGCTGCTTAATTTTTTTAAACTAAAGTTTGTGTTGAGTTGTGTTAATGAAAATAATTGTTTCAACTGTGTTCTTCTTCCTCACCAATTTTCATTTCAGATGATATAATCCTCCAGAATCCTATGGTACATGAAGCTATACGAATGGGGTTCAATTTCAGGGATATTAAGAAAATAATGGAAGAAAAAATTCAGACATCTGGGAGCAACTATAAATCACTCGAGGTTCTGGTTGCAGATCTAGTGAGTGCGCAGAAAGACAACACACAAGACGAATCAAGTCAGACTTCCTTGCAGAAAGGTATGCCGGGCAAGAGACCCCTATCAGTGCCTCATTATGGATAGTATCTTATATGACTTTGTGACCCATTAATTTCCGTCCTATCACATCCCCCTTAGAATGAACATTTTGTAACATTTTATTATGAAAAATATCAAACATCTTCAAAAGTGGAGAGGATAATGTAATGAGCCCTAATGTACCCATCAACCAGCTTTGGTAATTCTTAGCCCTTTTCAAATTTCGTTTCATATCTTCCCCCAATTTTTTTTTTTTACTGCTATAGTATTTCACAGTAAATCCTAGACTTCCTATATATCATTTACCTTGAATACTTCAATAAGTATCTAACAAATAAGGACTTTTTTAAAAACTTTAATATTGTGTGTGAGTCTGCTTGGACCGATGGACAGAACACCATAGACAGGTGGGATTAAACAGAAGATACTTATTTCTCATGGATCTGGAGGCTGGGAAGTCCAAGATCTAGATGCAGGCAGATATGGTCCACGATGAGAACGCCTTCCAGGCTTGCAGATGGCTGCCTCTGCCTTCTCTGTGTCCTCACATGGCCGAAAGAGAATGCTCTGGCTTCTCTTGCCTTTTTTTTTTTTAAGGACATCGATCCCATCCTGGAGCCCCACCCGCATGACCTCATCTAAATCTAATTAGCTCCCAAAGGCCCTGTCTCCAAGTACATTGGGTGTTAGGGCTTCAAAGTAAGAGTTTTGGGGAGACAGACATTTAGTCCATAACATAATATGATCACACTTAAATGAAATGAACAGTTAAGGCTAGGGTGAAGTATTACCAGAGGTAAACTGTTAATCAAGGGGGTGGGTGGGGAATCTGTGCCCAGAGCATCACCATCTCAAGTAAAGGGCTCCACGCAATGCTGAAAAAAGTAGAGTTGATATCAGCATTTGGTAGGCATGACATTTCATTCCATTGTGGTCTATGTAAGAAATCTCAAACAATCAGAATCAAGAGAAACCTTAAAGATTATATAACTTTCTTTTTTTTAATATTTATTTATTCTTAGAGAGAGAGGAAGGGAGGGAGAAAGAGAAGGAGAGAAACATCAACGTGTGGTTGCCTCTCATGTGACCCCCACTGGGGGACTTGGCCTGCAACCCAGGCATGTGCCCTGACTGGGAATCGAACCAGCGACCCTTTGGTTCACAGCCTGCTCTCAGTCCACTGAGCTACACCGGCCAGGGCAAGATTATATAACTTTCATTACTTCAGTGAGAAAACTGAAGTGCAGGTGTGCTGTTGCCCAAGATCACTCAGATAGTTGGGAGTGAAATTCAGGTTTCTGGACTTCTGGTCCAATGTTACTTTTTTTAATTAAAAAAGTTATGGTACAATGCACATAACAAAATTGACCATCTGAACCATTTTTAAGTTATGGGTCAGTAGTGTTAAGTACGTTCACTAATGTGCACCCAGTGTCCAGAATCCTTTTCATCTACAGAACTGAAAGTCTGTGCCCATTAAACAGCAACTCCCCATTCCCCATCCTGCCAGCCCTGGGCACTCAGCCTTCTGCTTGTCTGTCTCTCTAAAACCAACTACTCTAGGTATCTGGCCCATTGTTCTTTTCTACTCACTGTAGCATCACATCCAAAAGTAATGTATAAATTACTTTATTGTTTTCCTCCCTTTTTTAAACTACAAAGCTACTTTTAATACTTTGGGGTAAACCCCACAGAACTAAAACACACTTGGGAGGGGTAATCTCTTCATCCCCCAGGAAAGGTTCATGGGAACAGAAGCTATCTGGGGGGAAGGAAGACAAAAGAGACCCAGTATAGACTCAAGGCAAAGGGAATGCCATCAGTGCTGGGACCTTGGAGCACTACAGGAGGGAACTTGAACATGGTGAGACTGGTTCCAGACACATAGGTAAAGGGCAGGAGGGTTGGACACCAAGCCACCAAGCTGCTTGGGTTCCTCCTCATTTGCTTTTTTTGTGCTTCTGCTGCCTGATCTCCAAGACCCTTTGCTTCTGAGTGGCAGCAGAAAGCCTGTCATCTCAGTGCTTTTCCTTAACCAAGTGACTTTGCTCTTTCATATTCTGGTTGAACTCAGGCTGCTTATCACTGGTTGTCACAGTAGCAAGAATATGCATTTCATTCTTGCTGTTATATGATGTAAGTCAGTTTATAATGCTGTCCCTTTACTTGTTTCCTTTGTCTTGAATGCCTTTTCCCTGTCTTTATACCTAGTTTCATCCCCCCACTGCCCTCCCCCCATTCCCAAAATCCATCTTGTAAACTAACTCATCCTTCAAGGCTCAGCACAGAGGTCATGTCTTTGAAGTTTTCCCCAGGATCCATAGCAGAGTTCAGAGCTCCCACTTCTCTACTCAGTACTCTTAGAGCGCTTGTAGCATTATTTTGGAACTGCTTTGCTTTTTATTACTGTCCATTAGACAAGCTTCTTGAGCGTAGGTGTTTTATGTTCTTGTGTCTGGTAAGTTCCATGTTTGGGCCTTTAGTTTTCAGTATGCCCAGGAGGTTGCCTTTTAAGAAACAGGAGATAAACAATCCTTTCTTACACCCCTAGTCAGGGAAACTTTTCTGAAGCACAAATCTGAACATACCTCTCTGGGTTAAAACCCTTCACTGGCTCCTAGGGCCCTGAGAATCGAGTACAGACTCCTTTACATGGGTTGCCGAATACCTCAGGATCAGGCTCCTCCTAACCTGTTCTATAGCCTCATTTCATGCTGTTTCCCCTTCAAATTCTGTTCCCGAGCCTTCCGTGTGGACATGTTAGCCCTATTCTGTCTCTCCTCTTGGAGCCTACTCATGCTGTTTCCTCTACCTAGAATGCCCTTCTCCCGCTCCCCTGTCCCCCAAGGCCTTCTACCTCTTTCTAGTTTATTCCTCTAGGAGGCTTTTCCTTATGTGTTCATACATACACACACTTACACCCTTCTTGTGTTCTTCCTAACACACTCTACCTTTATCATCACACTGTACTATAATTTCCTGGCTACTTGTGTCCCTTACTTGTCTGTGAATGATCTGGGGACTGAAGTCTCTATTTGTAATGGTTGTATCTCTAGTGCCCAGACCTATTTAGGTGTTCAGTAAGTATTGGTTGAATAAAATTAAACCACTGTTTCCCAAACCTCTTTTCATGGTAGTGTTCCCTAGGAGTTTAAAAGGCATGCCATGAAAAAGGAGCTCTATTATTAAAGAAGGAAATGCATTACGCATTACAAGTTTCTAAGAGGGGACATAATACTACATTATTTGGCCCTAAACTTGAAAGCAGTGGTTTCCAAATGCCAGTGGGCTCAACCCCAAATGTTTTAGATTTGGGAATGGGGCCTAGGAATCTACTGTTACAAATGCCCCAGGTAATTCTCATGTGAAGCCAGCTTTAGAAATCACTGGTGTACAGTGATTACAAAGATTGTTAAAGTATGTAATGCGTTTGGAATAGTGCCTGGCATGTGGTAGTAAGTGTTACATTACTGTTAACTGCTGCTGCTGTTGATTTTTGTCATTACAGTTATATAAGACCACAAAACATGGTTTTTGTGGCATATTTGTTAACATTTCACAGAACCTAGTTTGGGAAAGGCTGAATTAATAAGCAAGTAGTTCAGTATCATCCATATGCTAAAGACACCCAAATCTCTATCTGTAATGCTGATTCCTGCTTGACCTCAAGATTTGACTCTCCAGTTGCCTACTGGACATTTTTATCTACATGCCCTGCAAACACCTCAAAAATATCTTGAACAGCCCAGACCTGTACCTCCTTTGATATTTCCTATTGGCATCACTATCCCTTTGTCAGCCACACTAGAAATATTAAAATCAACTGTATTTCTTGTTTCTTTCTCATCCCTCACATCCAGTCAATTGCCAAATCCTACTTGTCCCACTTCAGAAGTGTCCCTCCAATCTATCCCTCCATTTCTGGAATAAGCCATGCCCTTTTGTGCGGCACTACTTTTACCTAACCCTTGCTTGTCTGCCTGGCAAATTGCTGGTCAGTTTAAATGTTATTCCTCCACTTCCCTGCTCCCCTGATACTCTATCCAGCAGCTGCCAAGCCATGAATCTTTCCCCAACTAGTCTGAACAGAAGAACTTGTTCTTTCATCTTGTCCCCGAGCACTTGGTGTACGTATCATTATTAGAACACTTACCACTGTGCATTGTGTGCTTACCTTCATTGCCTCAGCTCACCTCCTTCTCTCCCACTAGCATTCAGACTTCTTAAGAGCAGATGCCATGTGTGTCATCCTGTCTCCCAGTACTTGATTAGTGTCTGCCACATAGTAGGGGTTCAAATTGTTTCAGTGAATTTAAACAAGTAAGAAAGTCTACAATTAACTAATTTCTTTTCTCTTTGTACAGAGATTAGTACTGAAGAGCAGCTAAGGCTCCTGCAAGAGGAGAAGCTTTGCAAAATCTGCATGGATAGAAATATTGCTGTCGTGTTTATTCCTTGTGGACATCTGGTCACTTGTAAACAATGTGCTGAAGCAGTTGATAAATGTCCCATGTGCTACACAGTCATTACTTTCAAGCAAAAAATTTTTATGTCTTAATCTAACTATAGTAGATGTATTATGTTCTTACTACTCTGATTGAATGTGTGATGTGAACCAAATTTAAGTAATCAGCATTGAATTCATTAGCATTTGCTCCCAAGAAGAAAAATTGTAAACTGCAGTCAGTGTTATAGTTGGCGATCTAAAATTTGAATTTCTGGATTTTCAGGATATTCGCTATATTATCTATCCTCTTTTTTTTTCTATTATTAATTGAAACCCTAGACTAAGAAGCATCATATTGTAACTGATCACAATGTGTATTTGTGGTACACTGACTACCTTTTAAGTGTAAGTGAATCAACTAAATTTTTCTTTTTTTTTTTCTTTTTTTTTTTTTTTCAGATAGGCCTAGCAGGTGGAGTGTTATTTGTAAAAGTGGAGATTGGAGTTGATCTCTCCAATCACATAATTTGTTTTATGTGGAAAAAGGAGTGAATCGTTCCACAGTGGTGGAAAGATAGACATTATTTTTAGATGCTAGTCTTTATGCTTTAGATTTATTTTGTCTATTTTCTTTTAAAATTATACATACTTTGGTGGATGACTTTACACAGTGATTTTGCCATTGTTAAAAGGGTATTTGATGATACAATGCCATCTAGCCTACGTGTATTGAATGAGCCAAATGAAGGTTATGTGCATTTTATATATGTAGAGAACAAACGATTAGAAAAGATAGGTACCAAACTGTTAAATGTGGGTTCTCTTGAGGGGGTGGGGGGGTGGGTCCCAGAGGGGCTTTATAGGGGCCTTTCGCTTTCTACTTTTCATTTTGTTCTGTTTGAATTTTTGTAAGTATGTGTTACTTTTGTAATCAGAATTTTTAGAAAGTATTTTACTGATTTAAAGGCTTAGGCATGTTCAAATGCCTGCAAAACTACTTAATGCTCAGCTTTAGTTTTTCTAATCCAAGAGGGCAGGACAGTTAACCTTTTTTGGTACCAATGTGAAATTTAAATGTCTTTATGTTTGTCCTGCTTTGTGGATGAAAAATATTTCTGAGTGGTAGTTTTCTGACAGGTAGACCATGTCTTCTTCTCTTGTTTCAAAATAAATATTCCTGATTTTGTAAAATGAAATATAAAATATGTCTCAGATCTTCCAATTAATTAGTAAGGATTCATCCTTAATCCTTGCTAGTTTAAGCCTGCCTAAGTCACTTTACTAAAAGATGTTTGTTAACCCAGTATTTTAAACATCTGTCAGCTTACGTAGGTAAAAGTAGAAGCATGTTTATACACTGCTTGTAGTTGTAGTGAAAGCTTTCCATGTTGAGATTTTCATAATCTTGTATTGTAAAGTTTCGTGTGAGTTTTTGCTGTTAGGATGATTAAGATGTATATAAGACAAAATGTCATGTCTGTCCTCTACTTAACATTTTTTGTTTTCTTGACTAGTGATAGTAGTAGATAACTCTGAAATAAATGTTTTCTCAAGATCCTTAAAAACCTCTCGGAAATTATAACCTATTGACAAGGAAAGAAGAGTATTTGTTTAAATACTAAAGACAAAATAAAACTTGAATAAGAATCAATATAGATTAAAAAGTTTAAAAATCCTTCATAGAATACCCACCCAGGCTTTTTTTAAAGATTAGGGTTTTTTTGTTTTTTTGTTGTTGTTGTTGTTGTTTTAGAGAGGGGAAGGGAGGGAGAAAGAGAAGGAAAGAAACATTGATGTGTGGTTGCCTCTCGAGTGCCCCCTACTGGGGACCTGGCCTGCAACCCAGGCATGTGCCCTGACTGGGAATTGAACTGGTGACCTTTTTGTTCACAGGCTGGCACTCAGTCCACTGAGCCATGCTAGCCAGGGCTCACCCAGGCTTTACAAGATTCTCACAACCACCTGTTCTTGTAAAGATGAGTGAAGCATTTTACTGCAGAGAAAAGTTTAAGACTTAAAAATTATAATTATTGTTGTATTTTCTAAGAGAAAGAGTATTGTCATGTTCTCTTAACCTCTGTTGATTATTACTTTAAGTGATATTCATTTAAAGCATTGCAAATTTAAATGAGGATTTTTAAAATAACGATTGCCCTGATTTGTTTTACTATTATATATTTATTAAGTTAAAATTTGCATGTCTAGTTTAAGCTTTACATTGAAATTGCAAGGGGAGGAAAGTGTTAAAAGTTTTTAAAAATGTGTTTTCCAGGACACATCAGCTACAAGTGAGGTAGTTAGTTCAGTGTAGTTGTTGGCTAAGGACCGAACTGTTTTAACATAAGGCTTTTCCCATTCTGGGGGCCTCAGTTCATTAAAACTCTTATTTTAAAACTTATGTGTTTAGAATTAAGCAAGACCTTTTTTTCTCCCCATGACTTGTGAAATTTAATGCATGAAGCTGATGTGACTAACAAGTTTATTTTAAGAATTGTTTAGAAATGCTGTTGCTTCAGGTTCTTAAATCACTCAGCACTCCACCTTTTAACCAAATTTTTAAGACTTAACCAATGCTTGTGTTCCCACTTTAAAAAGCACTGGATTCTCCCTATCTAACACACAAGAAATGATGACTTGCAAGGTCAAGAGTATAAGCAGATCCAAACCTCTGCTTCCCCTTCTCAGAGTAGTTTTCATTATCTACATGTAGATATTTTTTTGTGTGTATGAACATTTCAAAGTCACCACCTATTTTACTACATTTAGTCATGTGAAGAGTCAGGTTATTTGTAATAGTTATCTTTATTCATAACAATTTGGTATGTTATCAGAAGCTTTATCTTAATTTTTGAGAAATGGGGTTAGTGTTTATAAATTCCAGTTTATTAATGGCTTTATATCACCTTTTTTGCTAGATTTGTTTTTATGTGTGTGTGGTATTGCTTCCCCCCCCCCCCTTTGGTTAGGGTCTAAGATGAGGTGGGGTAAGTGTCGTAAGTGTATATAATGTGATGTGGCCCTTTGTATTATGATCTTCTGTGTTTTTCTAATATTTAAACTTTGATAGTTTTTCTTCTTTTCATTTTAGTGGATTAAATTGATATTTTGAACTCTCTGAATGGGAGACTACCACCACAGCATTATTTGCATGTATTGTACCCTTTAGATCCAAATTATTTTATTTCCTGGTTATTCAGATGTTGAATATGGAAGGAGAGGGTGAAGGGGTGGGAGAAATGGGATTGGTTGTGTATCATTTCCATTAGAGAAACAAGAAAACGGGAGGAATATTGGACAGGTGTGGTTATTTTTCATGAAGTCTGCTTTTTAAAAAAGAAAGCCATTTCTTCATCTGTGAAATGAGATTAATGCCTATCTTACATTTGTGAGAGTTCAAGATCAGGTATGTGAAATACCTGCCATAAATACTAGTCCCCTTCCTAATACTCTCGTTACCCTTCCAGTTTGCCTTGACTCTGGAAATATTGGCTAAAATGTAGATAACTCTCAGTGACTCTTACTTATCTTTTTTGGTGTTCCTCATAGTTAACATGTAAACTACAATAAATAAATAGGTTATGTCCTTAAAAATATTTAAATTTTTGTTTAAAACTTTTTAAAATTCTCAAATTTAGTTGAGCTTTCCTAATAGAAACAATTGGCTTATTCCCACCTTCATAATCAGTTTCAATTTGAGTCATATACTCAGCACAATGTGAATTTCACTGGCAGCATAATAGAATCATAGGGTATCAAAGCTAGAAGTGACCTTAGAGAGCATCTAATTCATCCCCCTCATTTTACAGATGAGGTAACCGAGGCTCAAAAGGGAAGTGATTTGTTCAAAGCTATATAGCTAATTAGTGGCAGTCCAGACTGGGACTTAGTTCGAAGGTGAAAAACTACAAGCTACTTCTCCTGAGAGGTCTGAAAAGTTTATTTTTCAACTATTTTTTCTTTTATACCATAACTTTCACTACATATTAAATGACACTTTATAGCTAATACAATAGGACAATCTTAAATACATATATCTTCAAATTGTAATACTACATTAATGTTTGGTGGTAAGAATCTATTTTGAAGTCTAAAGTTTGCAGATATGTGTATAGATTTTGCATTTACTGCATTCGTAGTGTGTATCACTAATGTAACATTTAAAATTACTATATAAGTATATATTGTCATTGTGTCTGTGCTTAGTTACAAATTTGCATTTTTGATTGGATGTAACAAAGGCTTGTATGCAATTTTTGTTAGATTTTGTGGTTTTTCATTGCTGTTTTACTTTATCTAACCTGAGAGAATGAATGGTTGATTGATATGTCATTGTATTAGTGTTGTGAATAATTGTGTGAAATGTTTTGAGATAGAGTACTATATTTGTGAATACAATTTTATGGCTTTTTTTTTTCATTTAGTAGAAATCTTTCCATCAGTATGGAAAACTAAGAAAATTACTTTCCACTGCATAATTTGGCAGTCATAGATTAAAGCTTATTTTTCTGTGAATAAGACATATTCAATAAAGTACTATTCTTTAAAATGTTATCTTACTACTTTGTAATATGTTGTACTTTTCCACAAAAAAAAAAGACTTGCCTTCCTAAAAATACTAAAATGTAACCTTCTTAATATACCTTATGCCATTCAGCCAGGTATTAAGGTACACAACAAGTCATCATTTTTTTAAAGAAGACATCCATTCAGCTCCAAGAAATCATTCAATGGAGCTGAATTGACATTTGTTGGAACAGAATTCTGTAAGTGCATGAAAAGTTGATTTTTTTAAAGTTTATTTATTTATCTTTAGAGGGGAAGGGAGGGAAGGAGAGAGGGAGAGAAATATCAATGTACGGTTGCCTCTCATTCATCTGCTGGGAACTGGCCTGCAACCCAGGCATGTGCCCTGACTGGGAATTGAACCGCGATCCTTTGATTCACAGGCCCACACTCAATCCACTGAGCTACACCAGCCAGGGCGAAAAGTTGATTTTTTAAATGCATTAAAATATGAATCATAATTAACTCTCCCCTCCCCACAAAAATTGGCTTGGTTATCCCAAGACAGTATAGTCACCATAACAAAGTTTGAACAAGCAGGGGACCTAAAAGCCACTGCCCCTTTGAGGCAGATGGCAGAGAAGGGTTTATGTGGGTGTGGTTTGCAGTGAGTGACCCAGAGACTTTCAGAAGCTGCAAGCAATCTGATAGCATAAAAAGGGAGGGGGGATAAAGGATCCCTAAAGGCAGAGAGTTTAGATGTAGGTATTTCAGGTAGCTACTTGTCCTAACTATTTCTGCCCACCATGGGAATTTAGATCAGGAGCTGCATTTCAGGTCTAGGCTCTACAGTGACTATGTTATCACTGTTTCTGGGGTTATCGTAAGGACCTTGTTTCAAATGCAGTTCACATTTCTTCTTACATGTCAACTACATTTTCAATGAATATCGATAAAGATGTGAATTTTCAGAGCTTTCTCACAGAAATTTTCTAACACAAAAGTAGAAAGTGTAATAAATCCCATGATACTCATCATTCAGCTCCAACAAATGTCAATCTTTTGCCAATATTGTTTCCCTTAGGACCCCCTCCCTTTTATTGCTGGCATACTCAAAAGCAAATCCTAGATATGTCATTTTCCCTGAATTACCTTATGTACCTATACCAGATTAGAAGGGTTTTTTTACATATATGTGAATTTCAACTCACAATATAACTGAATTTAGATGGACATTTAAAGAACTAAAGTCATCTGTATTCCTTTTATTGAGGTAAATATACCTCCTCAAAATCGATATTATTTTTGAAACTGTCTTCTCACTATTTCATTTTAGT